AATAAGTTGTTTTCAGGCAATTCCGGATACTGCTAGTATTTCCTATCAAGTTGTAGTTTTTAAGTTTGCGTGCTTATTTATATTTGTCGCTTTGGAATGGTTTTCTTTCTCTATCATCCTCCTAGTGTTTGTGTTTAAGGATACATCCTCCAGATTATCATTATTCATCTTCCTTTGGTTCATTCATTTTTTTGAATATTCCATTCCAGATTCTTGCTTTTGCATCTCCTCTGTTTAGGTGAAGATATTTGGTCTGTGTTCAATGGAATCTAAGAAAAGTGTTTGGTAAAACAAGAGCTGTAATAAACTACTTTGAGATAACTATCCTCTTCCATGTTTGCGCTTGCGTTGTTACAAGAAGGTTGTGTTGGCCAGTAAAGGAAGAGACTTAACAGTCCCAAGATCCTTAAAATATTGTCTCTTGTCAGATAAAACAAACTGGTCTGTTTGGTGGCTTGTGCAAAGTTCCATTAGAAGGTAAAGGATCAATGTTCTTCTTACCTTATCATCTTTGGTCTTCCTCCATTAACCTAAACCACTGGTGTTTCAAAAGACCGACAGAAGAAATTACCATAATAAAAAGTTGTCTTTTTTGTTTCTTTATTATACACTAATTAAACGTAGTGGTCGTATAGAAAAAAATGAAGAAGACTTTTAGTGGAATCTTTGTTAAAGAAATAATTATTTCAAAAAAAGGTACATTGCGCTGGAAACTATCTAGTACATATATAAAAGATTTTACAGATGAAATTCGGATGGACAAAATTTACTCTAAATAGGAAATTTACTAATTCTAGTATTTTTCTTTTTGTGATTTTTCCTAATTTTACTCACATCCTCTCTGATTCTCAATACAGAAAATTTTGCTGTAGATTACCTTTTTCCAACTTGTCGCCTTCCTCATCCACCTCCTCAGTTTCTCTTTTTTGTTTTGCACCTGTTTTATTTTTACGTTTGCCTTATAATAAACCACAAGTAATGTCTTTTCCTTTCCTCTTTCCTCTCTCATTGAGTAATCTAATTTCATAAAATCCCGTAAAGTTTTCCCTTCCACCCTCTCCCCTCCTCCGCCATGACCCATCATCACCGGAGAGAGTCCTTCTCGGTAACTCCCTCTAACATGGGAGGTTCCGTGGTGCTTTGTCCTAATACCGACCTTCTTTGGCCATTTGGGAAGCTTGAAGGGCTTGATCGAGATGATATTCGTGAGACGGCTTATGAGATCTTCTTCACGGCTTGCCGGTCATCACCGGGTTTTGGAGGTAGGACTGCTCTCACGTTTTACTCTAACCATAATAGCAATGACCATCATGGAGACGGAGGAGGAGGAATAGGTTCTGGTGGCTCAACTGGTGTTGGGTCTGGGTTTGGGTCTTCAGGGAGGAAAGAGGTGGTCACGACCCCTACAAGCCGGGTTAAACGGGCTTTAGGTTTGAAGATGCTTAAACGGTCTCCGTCTAGGCGAATGTCGACCATAGGAGCGGCTGGAGGAGCGGGAACTTCACTATCACCTGGTGGCGGAATGAATACTAGCTCGGGACATATTAGTCCTGGAGCCGGGTTCTTGACGGTCCCTCCTTCTCGGCCTAGGAGACCGTTGACCTCGGCGGAGATCATGAGGCAGCAAATGAAGGTGACAGAACAGAGTGACAGTCGGCTTCGGAAAACCCTATTAAGAACGCTTGTTGGTCAAGTAAGTTAATTATTTACTTGCTTCTTCTACAAGTTAATTTAAACGTTGAATGGCCTTGACAAAATACCTTAATTGTTTTTTCTTTTAAATTTTATCCTCAGACGGGTAGACGAGCAGAGACGATAATCTTACCATTAGAACTCCTTCGACACTTGAAAACATCGGAGTTTGGTGATGTACATGAGTACCAGGTTTGGCAAAGAAGACAACTAAAAGTTCTTGAAGCTGGCCTTCTTCTTCATCCATCGATTCCTCTAGACAAAACTAACAACTTTGCAATGCGTCTAAGAGAAATTGTTAGACAAAGCGAGACAAAACCCATTGACACAAGCAAAAACTCAGACACGATGAGAACACTCACCAACGTTGTTGTGTCTTTATCTTGGCGTGGCACTAATGGAAACCCAACTGATGTTTGTCACTGGGCTGACGGTTACCCCCTCAACATTCATCTTTATGTTGCTTTGTTGCAGTCCATTTTCGATGTCAGAGACGAGACATTGGTGCTGGATGAGATCGATGAGCTTCTAGAGCTAATGAAGAAGACTTGGTCAACACTAGGGATCACACGACCAATACATAATCTGTGTTTCACTTGGGTTTTATTTCATCAGTACGTCGTGACGTCACAAATGGAACCGGACTTGCTCGGCGCTTCTCATGCTATGTTAGCTGAAGTTGCTAATGACGCTAAGAAGCTTGACCGCGAAGCTCTCTATGTGAAACTATTAAACTCAACATTGGCCTCTATGCAAGGATGGACCGAGAAAAGGTAGTTTGACTATTCTCGCTAAGCCAAGAACAATTATATTTACAAAATGTTTGAATTTGAATGCAATTTTGGTTATTAGGTTATTGAGCTACCATGATTATTTCCAAAGAGGGAATGTGGGATTGATAGAAAATCTTCTGCCATTGGCGTTATCATCGTCAAGAATATTGGGAGAAGATGTGACAATTTCTCAAGGAAAAGGACAAGAGAAAGGTGATGTGAAATTAGTGGATTATTCAGGAGATCGCGTCGATTATTACATAAGATCGTCCATTAAAAACGCATTTTCTAAGGTAAAAACAAAATTTAATTTGTGTTTTCATTTGATCTATAATTTTAGGGTTCTGAAAATCTTTGTTACAGGTGATAGAAAACACGAAAGCTAAGATCGCAGCTACAGATGAAGGAGAAGAAGCGGCTGGAACGTTGTTACAGCTAGCTAAGGAAACAGAGGAGTTAGCATTAAGGGAACGCGAATGTTTCAGCCCGATACTCAAGAGATGGCACTCGGTTGCTGCTGGTGTTGCCTCGGTGTCACTTCACCAATGTTATGGCTCGATCTTGATGCAATATTTGGCTGGAAGATCGTTTATCTCGAGAGATACTGTTGAGGTTTTGCAAACGGCAGGGAAGCTCGAAAAGGTCTTGGTGCAGATGGTGGCTGAAGATTCAGAGGAATGCGATGACGGTGGAAAGGGGCTTGTACGAGAGATGGTTCCATATGAAGTCGATTCTATTATACTGCGTCTTTTGAGACAGTGGGTCGAAGAAAAGCTCAAAAAAGTTCAAGAGTGCTTATTTAGAGCAAAGGAAACTGAAGTAAGTTTTAGAGATTTTACTTGTGATCCAAGAAACATTACTTCATCTTACCTTGGTGTTTGCTTTCTTTCTTCGTAGACATGGAACCCGAAATCCAAATCAGAACCTTACGCACAATCCGCAGGAGAGTTGATGAAGCTAGCTAAGGACACGATCGATGAGTTCTTCGAAATCCCTATCGGGATTACAGAAGATCTTGTTCATGATATCGCAGAAGGATTGGAACAACTCTTTCAAGAATACACCACATTTGTTGCATCTTGCGGTAAGTAAATAATCAAAATCCGTCTATTGCAACAATAAAATTTGTTATCTCTAATTTTTGAATTGTTCAGGATCAAGACAAAGTTACATCCCTACATTACCTCCTCTTACGAGATGCAACAGAGATTCCAGATTCGTTAAGTTATGGAAGAGAGCTGCACCGTGTACTACTTCCAACGAAGATTTCAAATACACCACATCTGTCATTTCCGACGGCCACCATCCACGGCCATCCACAAGCCGCGGGACACAACGTCTATACATTCGGCTCAACACCTTACATTTCTTAAGCTCACATATCCACTCCTTAAACAAAACACTCTCTTTAAACCCGAGGATTCTTCCCGCAACTCGAAAACGTTACCGCCATAGAAACAACAACTCATCTTCTTATTTCGATTTCACATACGCTGGAATCGAATCCGCTTGCCAACACGTTTCAGAGGTTGCAGCTTACCGTTTGATTTTCCTCGATTCCAACTCTGTTTTCTACGAGAGCCTCTACGTAGGAGAAGTTGCAAACGCGAGGATCAGACCAGCTTTACGCATCATGAAACAGAACTTAACATTGATGTCAGCGATTCTTGCGGATAGAGCTCAATCATTAGCGATGAGGGAAGTTATGAAATCATCATTCGAAGCGTTCTTGATGGTCCTCCTCGCCGGTGGATACTCCCGAGTGTTCTATAGATCGGATCATAGTCTTATCGAAGAAGATTTCGAGAACTTGAAAAGGGTTTTCTGTACTTGTGGTGAAGGGTTGATACCTGAAGAAGTGGTGGACAGAGAGGCAGAGACAGTGGAGGGAGTGATACAGCTTATGAGTCAACCAACAGAACAACTAATGGAAGATTTTAGCATTGTAACGTGTGAGACAAGTGGAATGGGGATGGTTGGTTCTGGACAGAAGCTACCGATGCCTCCAACTACAGGACGATGGAACCGGTCTGATCCGAACACAATCTTGAGGGTTATTTGTCATAGAAACGACCGTGTTGCTAATCAGTTCTTAAAGAAATCGTTTCAATTGCCTAAACGAAGGTGAATTGGTAAGTAAGAAAAAGAAAAAAGAAGGATTCAACTAAAAAAATGTTGGTGTTGGTGAGGGACGTGAACTTGATTCGTTGTGTAAATGGTTATGGTTTTCGAGTTTTGGGGCTGATTTGTAATCTAAAAAAAAAAAAAAATTCTTCTTTTTTTTTTGTTGCATTGAGGTTGAAGAGAATTATTTGTTGTTTACGAGGAAAATATTTCTTAATTCTTTTATTAGATGTGTTCATAAATAGAAGTCTTATTATGTGTTAAAGATTTTTAAAGAGATTTTCTGCAATACAAAGATATTGTAACAAGTTCTTGCAATGAAAATTGAGATTTTATGGGCCTTGAGCCCAACTTATGCGAAGCCCATATATAAGAAAAAAAAATTCGAAGATAAAAACCTGAGTGAAAACCAAAACCCTATCCACTTTACTCTAAACCTCCATTGCCTTCGTCTTTCTTCCTCAGTCGCCCTACAATGGCCTTGCCTTTGTCTGGCACGCGCCACCTCACGCGCGCTCTTCTCTCTAATGTCACCGTAATAGCTCCTCCTCGGGTTCCTTCCTCTGTTCACTGCGGTGGATCTCGGTTTGGTTACTCGACCCGGTTTTTCTCAATCCGATGCGGAGCTAACCGGTCAGGCTCTGCTTACTCGCCGCTTAACTCTGGCTCTAACTTTAGTGATCGGCCTCCGACGGAGATGGCTCCTTTGTTTCCGGGATGTGATTATGAGCACTGGCTTATTGTTATGGATAAACCTGGCGGCGAAGGTGCGACGAAGCAGCAGATGATTGATTGTTATATTCAAACTTTAGCTAAAGTTGTTGGAAGGTAAAATATTCAAATCTAGGGCTTCAAATTCTGATTGAATATCAAAGCATAAATTCATAGTTTACTTAGTGTATTTGACTCTGTGTGGTGTTTGTTGTTGTTTTGGTTAGTGAGGAAGAGGCGAAGAAGCGAATCTACAATGTTTCGTGCGAGAGGTATTTAGGGTTTGGCTGTGAGATTGATGAAGAGACATCGACTAAGCTTGAAGGTCTTTTACTGAGAACTTGTTTCTTATGTTAGCTATGTGTTAACTGATAATAGAGAAGAGTATTCTTAAAGTGTTGCTTTGTTTACGACAGGTTTACCCGGTGTACTGTTTGTGCTTCCAGATTCCTATGTGGATCCTGAAAACAAAGATTATGGAGGTAATTCTTCTGCATATTATTCATGTTTAACACAAGTGTTTGCTTTATTTCTCAAAATGAAATCTTTGCTAGTGCCATTGACATTGCTAATTTTTGAGTCTTGGTGTGTGCCTCTCTTGAAACATGAAAGAGATTTTTTGATTAGTCCATCTTGGCAAAGCTAATGAGTCTTTTGGCTATGATTAGCTTTGAATGCTAATGGCAAAGCTAATGAGTCTTTTGGCTATGATTAGCTTTGAATGCTAATGGACTGACAACATCTATTTTCTCTTAGCCGAATTTTGCAGATAGTTAATAATATATCTAACTGCAGTCTGGTTTAGATGAAAACATATACTGCATGCATCTCTAGAATGCTTTTCTCTTGGAAGATGAAGACATGTTATTGATTATCAGTCCATCTTGGCGAAGCTAATGAGTCTTTTGGCTATGATTAGCTTTGAATGCTAATGGACTGACATCAAATATTTTTATCTAAGCTGACTTTTGCAGATAGTTAGTGTAATACCTACCTGCAGACCGGTTTAGATAAAACATACATTACATCCCCTGAGTGCTCCTTGCTTCAATTAGTCAATTTTAATGAACCTAGTGAATCTACTGGCCCTATCTGCGCACTAAATTAATGGCATGACCGGTTGAGATGATAAAATATATACGCACTAATAGTGTCAGTGTGTCACTCTCCCTAACCATGGAAAAGATAGCTCAAAGTCCATCTTGGTAAAGTTAATAAATCTTTTTTGGCAATGTTTAGTTTTGAATGCTAATAGACTTGTATCAGCCTCTTCTCTTGGTCTATGTGTGGATTTAGAATAGCAACATGGTTAGTTCCCTGGTTGAGATAAAGCATATACATAACCATAAAGTCCATCTTGGCAAAGCTAGTAGCTTTCAGCCATTTCTAGTTTTGAATGCTAATGGACTCACATCCAGATTCTCTCTTTCTTGTGCTGTGCTCTTGATATTGGGGAAGCATAGACTCAATTCCGAGAGATACACCAGCTTTAGATTTCTCGAATTAAATCTCAACTATACTAAAGAACATTTACGGTGATGTTGAATTCTGATTTGTATATTCTTAATCTGTGTTGTTGACTTGCAGCTGAACTGTTTGTTAATGGAGAGATAGTCCAACGATCACCAGAGAGGCAGAGGCGAGTTGAGCCGCAGCCGCAGAGAGCCCAAGATAGACCAAGATACAATGACAGAACTCGTTACTCTCGCCGCAGAGAAAACACAAGATGAACTGTAACTGAAGAAGGTATACACACACCCTATCAAATAAAAGAAAAGCCAGTAGGATGATGATGATAATGGTGGTGCTGATGAGGATGGTAATGATATTGCTACTGCCAGGCGAAGATTCCGTGTCGCGGTCCTTTGCAGTTGATGGACTTGCGTTGGATATTGTTGAAACGCTAAGTTTTGATTCTATGTAACATTTTTATATACAGTAATAATGTAAATCGAGGTTTCACTGTTTTAGGAAAAAGATATCAAAATTAGTTTCTTTGTAAGAACAAAAAAATGTTTCTTTTCTTGACGTTGTACCCATTTATGTGGCAAATGGTGAACTGCTTTCATTATCAATCAGTAAAGTTTTAGAATACTGAAACCTGCAAGCAGAGTAGGAGACAATTACTCATGTATGATTTTTTGGGGTTAAAAAGGAACAATATAAAAATGAAAGGGCGATCTGATGATATCTCCAATAAATAAGGGGAAAATGAAAAAGTAAAAGAAGTTGATTTTAAAATCCAGCGGACGAAATCTGCTGTGAGTTTTTTTTTAATCTCTCGTCTCCGAAAATAGTTGACGAAACTCTCTACCGGAGGCGCTAGTTTTCGCCGTCGGGGAGGCAATTTCATTTGCCGGAGGTGAGACGCTTCTACTCCGCTTCTTTTTTCTTCTCGTTATTTCGTATCTCATGTCAAGCTTGTTTGTCCCTTCTCTTTGGGTGTATATAGTTGGATTGGTCAAAGAATCACGATTGCTTCTTCATTTCGATGTAACTTAGGGTTTGTGTGAGCATATGATTGCTGAGAAGTAGCTAGTAATTGAATGTCCATAAGGTTAGTGGTGGGAGAATGGGCTGTAGAAAATTTTGTACTCTGCGCCGTCTAGTTCTTTAGGTCGTTCATTACTTAATGCAATTAGATTCAATCTGATCGTAGTTCTAATGGTGTTGGTTTTTAGAGGCACAGCCATAGTTTCATGTACAAATCAAGTTAGATAACTTGCTTTTTCTGGTGGCTTGGAACTTATTAAACGTGATCGAAGATCTATGATATGATAGAAAATTCTGGAATATTATTGTGTTGGTAGGTTGCTGTTTCTGTCATTTTGATACGATTTCTATGACGCAAGAGACGAGGGAGTGGAAACTCATGAATTTAGCTGTGCATTGCCTTATGATTGTCTTATGTTCTCATTCTATTAGTTTGTGATTTTTGTCTGCTGATGATCTTGCTTTCTGCTCTTTATCTCAAGGGAATTTAAGCAATCTCCCTTTTCTCCTTGAGCAAGCAGGATGAACGAATTTAATAAGCAAAAGGAAAAGCCTGATGGACATGAGAAGCTTGTAAATGAAGAAGGATCTGCTGCTCGAACAAGACCTACAAGCGTTGAGGAGATTAGGCTAAGGAGGAAGAGGAAAGAGTCCTTGGAAAATGTGAAGGAGGAAACTGTAGGAGCAGCTCAGTTACTGGGTAGCGATCTTGTTGAGCAGGCTTTTGATTATCATGAGTCTGAAAAAGGGTATGATGGATCCGAGAATTTGAGGCATGAAGAACATCTTAAGGACAGTTCAAGAAAGGAAAATGACGCCATTTCTAGTTCTAGGGAAGAAAAACTAGTAAAACCGATGAAAGAGGACCCTGTGGGAGCAGCTCAGTTACCCGGTCAAAATCTTGTTGAGAAGGTTCTTGGCTGTCATGAGTCTGAAAAAGGGTATGATAGATCTGAGAAACTGAGGCATGAAGAGCTTGTTATGGACAGCTCAAGAAAGAAAGAAGAGGCTATATCTAGTTCTAGAGAAGAAATACTAGATAAACCAATGAAAGATGATAAAGCAGCTCAGTTACTAGGTAATGATCTTGTTGAGAACATTCCTGACTATCATGCGCATGATAGATCCAAGAAAGTGAGGCGTGAAGAACGTGTTAAGGACAGTTTAAGAAAGAAAGAGGACACAACTTCTAGTTCTAGGGAAGAAACACCAATGAAAGAGGATCATGTGAGAGCAGCTCAGTTACTGGGTTACGATATTGTTGAGAAGGTTCCTGACTATCATGCATCTGAAAAAGGGAATGAAAGATCCAAGAAAGTGAGGCGTGAAGAACGTGTTAGGGACAGTTCAAGAAAGAAAGAAGACTCTATTTCTAGTTTGAGGGTAGAAAAATTAATGAAAGAGGATCATGTGGGAGCAGCTCAGTTACTGGGTCACAATATTGTTGAGAAGGTTTCTGACTATCATGCTTCTGAAAAAGGGCATGATAGATCAAAGAAAGTGACGCGTGATGAACGTGTTAAGGACAGCTCGAGAAAGAAAGAAGACGCCACTTCTAGTTTGAGGGAAGAAAAACCAATGAAAGAGGATCATGCGGGAGCAGCTCAGTTACTGGTTCACGATATTGTTGAGAAGGTTTCTGACTATCATGCGTCTGAAAAAGGGCATGATAGATCGACGAAAGTGAGGAGTGACGAACGTGTTAAGGACAGCTCAAGAATGAAGGAAGACGCCACTTCTAGTTCTAGGGAAGAAAGGGTAGAAAAACCAATGAAAGAGGACCCTGTTGGAGCAGCTCAGTTACTGGGTCACAATATGGTTGAGAAGGTTTCTGACTATCATACGTCTGAAAAAGGGCATGACAGATCCAAGAAAGTGAGGCGTGAAGAACGTGTTAAGGACAGTTCAAGAAAGAAAGAAGACGCAATTTCTAGTTCTAGAGAAGAAAAACTGATGAAAGAGGATCATGTGGGAGCAGCTCAGTTTCTGGGTAACGATCTTGTTGAGATGGTTTCTGACTATCATGAGTCTGAAAAAGGTTATGATAGATCCGAGAAATTGAGGCGTGAAGTGCGTGTTAAGGACAGTTCAAGAAAGAAGGAAGAGGCTATTTCTGGTTCCAGAGAAGAAAAATTAGATAAACCAAAAAAAGTCGAGCCTGCTTCAAATAGAAAAAGGAAAGCAGAACGAGAGAGTTCTACAGCTGAAACAGAATCAATGGAAGAACATAGTAAGGATAGACGAGGAAAGAAAGAAGAAACTAATTCTAGGTGTAGGGAGGAAAGACGAGATAAAAAGATGAAGAAGGAAGACCTTGCTTCAAACAGAAAAATTGAAGGAGAAATCCCTACAAGTGAAACAAAAGCAATGACAGATAGAGATGGGCTTGGTAGTAAGAAGCGTCTTAGAAGTCTAGTGGTGGCAGACGTACCTCGAGATGAAAGTAGTATAAAACATGACAATGAAGACAAGAGAAAGAATCAAAATGGAGATCATAAGAAGAATAGGGAGATGACTATATCAAAGAGGCATGATTCAGGAAAAGTGCACAGTGTTGAAGTTTCAGAGCGAATGGAAAGAAAGGAACAACCAAAAGCACATGAACGCGACATGAGAGAGAAAAGGAGGAGATCAAGAAGTCGAGATCATGGGCAGGACAGACAGAAAAGGCCATCCCCCTTACCAAGGGCTGAAAAGGCTACGTCGCGTCATAAGAGAAGCCATGAGGAGCGATCGGAAAATGTTGTTAAAGATAGGTCGGGAAAACATCATTGTAATGATAATGAAGACAAAGGGGCAAGCACTGTAAGTAACAAGTCTAGACGGTATAGTGCTTCCAAAAGTGAACTTGGTGGATATTCACCACGGAAAAGAAGGGAGGAAGCATCTACCAAGGCTGTATCTCCACCTAATCTTTCTTCTGAGAAAAAAAGTGCTAAATGGGATCTTGCACCTACTGTAACTTCTGGCATGTTCTCGGGCCCAGTTTTTTCTGGTCTCCAAGCAGCAACTCAGACAGCATATCCTACCATCAGTGAGGCTTCCTTGATGCTTTTGAAGCCACTTATGGAGGGGACTTTTAGGACGCCACCGCCAAGGCAAATCACTTCATTTGATTCTGTTCAACTGACCGAATCAACCAGACCTATGAGGAGACTTTACGCAGAAAATGTGCCGGATTCGGCCTCTGAGAAGTCTCTGATTGAATGCTTCAATGGCTATATGCTATCTTCAGGGTCCAATCACATAAAAGGAAGTGAACCATGTATTAGCTGTATTGTAAGTTTCTGTCGTATGACTTCCTTTATGAAATCACTCTTGTTATGTTTGTGGATTATATCACCTGATAGTATTTATGTCTTTTAAATGCAGATAAACAAGGAAAAAAGTCAGGCGCTAGTGGAGTTCCTTACGCCACAGGATGCCTCTGCTGCACTCTCCTTGGATGGCTGCTCCTTTGCGGGTTCAAACCTTAAAATTCGACGCCCTAAAGACTATGTCGGGACAACAGTAAGAACTACAATTTCTACATTCTCTTTCTCTAGAATTCTTGCCATTTGCTCCACATGTTTTATCCTTTAATAGTCATCTGGTTGATTTAGCAAGCTAGCTCAAATATCTACAATATATTTCTTTGGTGTCATCAGTAACAGTAAGATTCAATGTTTAATGTTTCCACTTTCAGTTCAGTTGATAACATGCGACTGAAACCTGTGTGACTTCTTTTTAATGATTTAAGCTTGAATTTATTGTGATATGTGACCATTGTCTGGTGCAAGTTTATGCTACATTATTTACAAGTCGAGAGCATCAATCCTCTTTTGATCCAGATAGATATATTCAAAGTAGACAGACATAAGGAACTTAGCAAGACATCTGGATCAATATTTTAGAGCATATAAGCATGGTGTTGTAAAACTAAGTTCTCATTTACTTGTAACTTTTTCTGTTGAAACATCTTGATTGACTATGGTCGTCTTCTATAATCAGAAAAATTAGGAGATTTCTTTATCATCATCAATGCATGTATGATTCAGGCTTAGATGTCATACTGTGCCGCTCCTTAAATTTACTCTGTTGGGCCCAAAAAATGCTTGTGATCCTATCTTTGAAGGTAGCCTCAGTGGAAGCATCGTGCCACTTGTAACCACATCTATTGATGTTACGACTGTAGGCAGATTTGCTGGTAAACATATGGTTTGGGTTGCTTCAGTTAGGTTAAACCTTAGCCATCTTTCAAAGTATGTCCCTCTGAGAATAGAAATTTGGACGTCGTTGATGTAAATTCTATCATGGTTTCCATCACATGATTCTCTAGCTGAGTTGTGAAGTCCAAGTGATTTGGAACTTGCAAAAGGTCTTGATTTGTTGAGGTGCAATCTTATCTTTAATTGCAATTGGTTTCGAATGCTTCTCTGTTTCTTTCCCGTGCCATTATCATACATTAGTACTGACAATAGGCGCCACTAAGAATTACTGTTGTTTATGGATTCCTGCACTTGAAATGATATGTTTTCAAGCCACATGTCAAACCTTTATCTGACTGTCGTGTGTTGGAATCTCTTAAATAGGGTGTTTATGTTGGGTATGTCATAATTCACATTCAGGAGGGTGATGAAGCTGTCTGCTAAATAAGAAGACTCCCAGGTGTAGTGAAGCGTTTGTTGTCTTCAAAGTTTGTTTCCATTTTTCTTCTCTTTTTTGGGCTTTTAGGAATTTATACAGATCATCCATATGATTCCTGTGTGTTATGGTTTACCTTTCTTGTGTTCTTTGTTTGTTTTGTCTAAATTTCTTGGTATCATATGATACCATATCAATCTGTTTTATCTTTGATTTTTTCCGAACTGAATGTGGTTGTAGTACTACTCGCATAACTTGCATAGGCAGTTAAAGACCTGCCTAGGATACTTTTTTTCTTTTATTTCTTTTATCTGTTTGGCTATTACTGTATTTCATTCCTCAGCAGGATCAGATACATGGTGTTGATTGTTATCTCTAATCTTTCGTGTTAGTGCTCCTTATAATTACATTAATGCCCTAAACTCTTACCACCTCCTCTTAAATGGACCCTCGTTCGAGTCTAAGCGACCGAGGATTTTTCGTCTTTGTCCTTCATGTTTGATCAGTTCTTGCTGTGATTTTCGGCTGAGTAGTTGTAGGAAAGTCTATGAAAAATGACTGATTATCAAGGCTGTGGAATTTGTCCTTGTAAACCAGTACCATGCATTTTACTATGATTTCTGAGCTATGTTATGGTTACCATCCATGAAGCAGGTTTTCAGACGGTTGCTATTTTCATGCAGAACGGTGAATTGGAGAAAAAGGAGCCAGCCACAAATGCAGTAAGTGACAATGTGGAGGACTCATCAAACAAGGTACAAATTATGAACCTAAATTTGCTTCTTATGACAGTGGGTAAAACTTTTTCTATTGAAAATGAGTGTAGAGTACAGTAAAACGGTAAAACCTCTATAAATTTATAGAGGTTTTACTGTATCTTCTACGTTCTAAATATCTATAACTTATTCCCTTTGAAAAGTAATTGTATATTGTCAGCTACCCTTTCAGAACAAATTCTAAGTTTGTGCCATAATTTCCATACACTGTAGTTTGAAATTTTTTGCTCTACAGACCAAAACATCGGTGTATCTAAATTTGACTTGGTCCTTTCCATTGGGGCATATCTTGGAAATTTACTGCATGTTTTTCATGCTGACAGCTTTTCCTTTCCCGTTTAATTTGTTTGTTAGTAGTTTAAATTGAAGAATATCAATTTTGTTAGAGTTAAGAACACAGGAATAAGACATGAGGCGGGATCAACTTTCTTGTAAGTTTGGGTGGTAGTAATAGGTGTTATGATCAAAAGCTTGTTCATAGTGATTCAACCTGGAAAGCCAAATGTCAGACCACCTTGTTATAAGCTTAAAGCGAAAAACACACTGAGTATAGAAGTGCAATTCTCTCTGCAGCTACGGCATCTTTATGGTTGATAATGTTGAAAGCTTCACTCTCTTTGGATATGCTAGTTGTCAGCTATACTAATTTCTCTCTGTCAAGCTTTGATATTGAGTGTAATGTACTTGTTGCAGATCTTCATTGGCGGATTTTCAAAAGCAATTTCATCTGAAATGGTATGCTGAGCTGTAATTCTTTGAAAACTTTTGACACGTTCAATCTTCTATTGGCCCCATTTCTATGGTTTCAACTTCTAGGATTGCCTGATTCCTCTTTAACGTTTTTTCAGCTAATGGAGATTGTCAGCGTCTTTGGACCTTTGAAAGCATACCGGTTTGTGAGCAACAATGATCTCAATCAGCAATGCGCTTACCTAGAGGTTAGAATATGCTTTTATCTTGGCCTTCTCTGTGGCCAATATTTTACAATCACTCTATATTCCCTGAAGTTCAACGGAGATACCCCCATCTTAGTCTGCCATCTTAGTTCTTGTGATTGTTTCATATCTATAATTGTTCATTTTCCGGGTAGCATGGGAAGATGTTATTTCCTCGTAACTTTTAGAGTGTAACCGTGAATGTGACTTCCAAGTGTCCACATATTAACCACCCTCACTCTTTTTAAATTTCTATACCTCAGTACACTGATGGATCTGTTACCCTCAAAGCTTGTGCTGGCCTAAATGGTATGAAGTTAGGTGGCAGTGTAATAACAGCCGTCTGTGCATTTCCTGATGCATCATCCGTAGCGGTAATTCAGTGACCCAACTTTTCTTTCGTTAGTTCATGTTCTGCTTGTATGGGTGACATTGAACAGAAATTCCTCTAGTTACTTGTGAGAGTGGTGTGTGTATGATATGTGTTGCAGGTGAATGAGAATCCACCATTCTATGGGATACCTGGTCATGCAAAACCACTTCTTGGCAAGCCTAAGCATATTCTAAAGCTAAAAAATGTGGTAAGGATAATAGGTGTATCCTTTTTTCTTGTGAATCGTTCCCACATAAACTATGTGAGGTTATATTAGCATTCCATTCTTTCCTGTTTGACAGGTTGACCCAGAAGATTTCACTTTGCTTTCTGAGCAAGAAGTGAAAGAAATTTTGGATGATGTACGGTTAGAATGTGCCAGGTTAAGCTCTGAGATCTTTCTTCCCATGAGTCCATCGAGCTTTAAAAAGCTAGTAAATTAAGAAATGAAGCCTCTGCGTCTGTTGTTATGCAGGTTTGGGGTTATTAAGTCGATAAACATCGTGGAACACAAGAGCAAAGATATCACTGTTTCTGAAACAAATGCATTGTTGACCTTAGAATCAACTGATTCTAAAGAAATGAATGTTTCAGTGATCCAGGAGAAAGACGAGGGATCCAAGAAAGCGGATGGTATTGCAGAAAATGTAGATCTTGCAGAGGTTATCAGACCAGACAGTTTGACAGGTGAAGAAAAGTTACGTGAATCGTGGTCAGATACTGCTGCTGTGACTAACACGCAAGAAAATGAAGATCAACACTCCACTGAGCAAGACCATTGTGAAACGATTATTGAAGAAAGTGCATGGGACGAGGCAGTGAATCCGCAAGAAGTAGCATCAGTGCGTACCGTGAAGACAAGATGGGATACTGACGACAAGATGGAGGAAGAACGAGACCCCGATGATTTGTTTGAGCCGGGTTGTATCTTCATTGAGTACGGAAGACCAGAAGCGACATGTGATGCAGCCCATTCTTTACACGGAAGGCTATATGATAACCGGATTGTGAAAGCAGAATATGTTTCTAAAGAGCTTTACCAAATCAGGTTCCTGAGTGGGTAAATAATCCCACAACAAGTGAGACTGATCTGCAATTCTTCTCATCCTTACCACATAACCGGTTCAAACCGAGTTCAGAGATACATAGCATCTCCAGTCAAAAACCCTTAAAGAAAAATCTCTTTGTAATCGTTGTGATTGATCAGGTTAGATTAATCATCACCAACTGTGTCTCATTACTTGTATGCATTCGAGAATCCAAGAAGGGAAAGATGAAACCATACTATGGTTATGGTGGTGGCTATACGGTCCGGTTTTGTTTGAACCGGTTTGCTTTCTCAACTGAATTTGGTCGATAAATTGAAATTAGTGTTGTTTGGTTACGACTTACGAGAACGTAACCCTCTGGATGAGGAAGAGTGTTTCATTTTTCTACAAAATGAACCCAATCTCCTTCTTTATCCAAATCCTGTATCGAAGCAGAAGGAAGTAACAGCAACCAAAAATGACGACAATGGCGACGCAAGGGGCTTGGCTACGAATGACCTCATCACCGAAGTCCGTGGCTAAGTCAACCGTGACTTCAAAGGAGCTTGGATTCCTCACCTCCCAGCTCAGCGGCGTCAGAATCTCTCACGCTCCCAGTGACGTCATCAACCGTATCTCCGTTCCTTCCTTCCCCGGGATTCAGCCAATCGTCGCACGTAATTCCCCTTTTCTCTTATTCCTAGGGTTTAGTCGAATGCATTCGCGTGCCAAATTTATCTCGCTTTCCTTTTATTCATGTCCAATTTCGAATTTTTGAGGTAGCAAGCTTGTGCTCAATTGTCTGGAACTATATCTCTTTGCTTTTAGATATGGATATGAGCAGTGTGTTTAAGTTCCGTTGCATAATTTCTCGTATCAGACTTTTACTTTGATTTTTGATGTTATGTTAAAAAACAATCCCCAAAATTGAACAAATTTAGATGAATTTTGAATGCTGCAGAGAGGAGTTTCTGCCAAAAATCGTTTTACTGTTACTTGAATATGCTACTTTTTCATCATAGAATCCTCTTGAAACTGAGCATTTTGCTCCTTTTTTCTTGAAAGTGTTTTTGTTTTTGAAATGTCAGGTAGAATCTGCCCTTTTACTGGGAAGAAAGCAAACAGAGCAAACAAAGTTTCTTTCTCTAACCACAAGACCAAGAAGTTGCAATTCGTCAACTTACAATACAAGAGAGTTTGGTGGGAAGCTGGCAAACGTTTTGTCAAACTTCGTTTATCAACTAAGGCTTTGAAGACCATTGAGAAAAACGGACTTGATGCTGTTGCCAAGAAAGCTGGCATAGACCTTCGCAAGAAATAGCTAATTGATGATTGATGATCGCAAAGTTTATATACATTTCTTGCTTCTCCTTTTGCTCTCGTACAATTCCTTTCTAGATTTGGTAAGTATCAATGGAATCTCTGACTTGTATCAGAAACTTTTTTCTTGTGAGCGGTGACTTTAAAGAGAAACGAAAACAAACTCTCACATGCGGGTGGCCCAAAAAATACATTTCATGGTTTTGTTTATGTTTCTCAGATAATATCGTTACAAGTATCAACTGAATTCTCGGGTTTTCCTTTCGCTGATTTCTTAACCGAACCTTCTCCTCCTGCTGATGATCCTTTTAGTTTCCTTGGACGCGATGTAGCCTTCCGTGGAGGAGCTGAACCATCAGCAAGATGATTAGAAACTTCCGTGTCAGGAGCCGGGATACCACCACGCCTCCTACGAACTGAAGGTTCTTGATCATTCGATGAGTCCATTGACCCGTGTGCGCTTCGGTTATGTCTTGAATGCTTTGATGGTTCATCTGATGATGCAGCACTTCCGCTACTTCTTCTAGGCGGAGACCCGTTTAGATTTGGAGAAGTTGCTCCCCCGGGTTTCCGCCTTGTTTTATGTTTCGGTTTCTCGTTGGTGTTCGAAGGCAGTAACTCTTTTAGCCCGGCTCCACGTTGGTTCATCCCTATTGAGATGAGATACACATCAATTCCTCGAACCAAGCCAGATTTGTTCCTCAACGCTCAACACTTTTGGATTAAAAAAAATCAAAACATAACAAAAAAAAAAATTAACCTTGCGGGTTGTATTTGTTTGAATTTCCCCTGGAAACGACTTGACCTTTCTCATGTTCTTGAGGTTTAAAGTCATTCATCTGCAGTTTTTTCCCATAAAAAAAAACAATGATCATAATGAGCACAACAGATACGTGTCGTGTCGACATGTATGAAAATATGTATAAATGTTACGTATGATTGTACCCAGCTTGGCGTGTTGTTGGTTGGACCGTCGGAGCCAATGTGGGCAACATGCTTTACATCGGTCGGAAATCCTATCTGCATCTCCTGCTCTTTCTCTTCATCTGCAATAGAATAATTCATCCACCATGTAATTGACTTTTGACACAAGAAACAGAAATGATCTTGTCTAGGGAAAAATCAATGAGACGCACCAAAAATCTGAGTAATGTAACGAAGGCCCTTAAGAAGACCCTTCATTGTCGTCGCCATTGATCTATAAAGGGTTGGTCCCGGCTAATGTGTATCCACACGCCGGAGACAACCTTTTTGGTTCAAGATTTAACGATCGTAACCGTAAACCTAACTTGCAGAAAAAGGAAACGAAGAACAAATCAACAAAAGAGTTGCAAAGCACAACAAACAAACAACAATTTGCGAAATCTGAAGACTAAACCTTGAACGCATGGATTTTCTCTTGACGAGAGAAAAATGATGAAATGTTTTTTTGAAGAAGAGAGAGAGGGAGGGAGAGAGAGAGAAGGATCGAGAGACCTCCGAGAAGTGATTGGTTAAAGATCAACAGACCAAAAAGAAGAAGAGGGAGAGCACTAAGTTTTGTTTTGTTGTTTTTTTTTAACAGAGGATAAAAAATTTAGGAAAAAAAAAAACAAATATTTTCTTAGTTGTAATTAACAGATAATTTTATAATTAGATTGTTGATTGGTAATGGAGGCAACGACGTAGAGGTATAATCAAACCCTCCATGGGAAACAACTTGTCAAAGAGGATTTTCCGGGTCGAATGGAAGGAGACACGACCACACCAAAAATCTTATTTTACTTAACATATACTTTGATTGAGAGGTCTTAGATACTATTATATTTCTTTTGATTATTATTTAGAGAAATTGCATTAGATTGCAAAATGCAGATAATAAAAATGCGATAACTTATAACAATAATAATATTGATAGATTTTGCAATAATAGTAATATGTTCAAAATTACATAACAAACACTAATTAACAAAAAGAGCTGATAAGATTGATTCGTATGTTATAAACTTATATAATATAAAGTGAACATTCAGATAGAAACCGACACATTATTCTGTTTCTTTTGGAGGGTCTAGTTTTAGAATCCGAAGAAGAAAGTTAAAACGAACAAAGATTCCGGCAAAGAAGATTTGATACCGGCGATAATCATATGATGACTCAAGAAGCTTTCAAGTCATCCATACCGACGCTAGCCTGCCAAAAAGAAAACAAGAACAAAAAAATTAAAGCCTGTTATGAAACTGAAGAAAGTGTAAAGACTTAAAAAAGTTTTTAAAATCTTTGTTTACCAGAAACTTGTGATTATCTTGAAGAAACGGACCAAACTCAGCGCAAAACCTTTCCATGTCGGCATGGATGTCACCAGAACCAGATATGACATCCATGAACTTCTTCCTGTCTGGAGCTAGCTTTAAAGCCATCTGATAATAAAAAAATTTTACCGTGTCCCAGGAAATCAAAAATGAGATTGGTACAGAAGATGATGATTAAACAGAGAAAGCGCGAGTAAGTACATACAGAGAAGGTAGAGCTGGCGAGCCATCCGTGCCATTTCTTGAGTGTTTTTTGGTATGAGTCAGCACAAGCTTGTGGCATTGACCAGTCTTGATGTGCTACCAAGTTGCGGAACAGCTCCACTAAGAAATCCATTGCTCTGAAAGATTCACTCATAAGTGATATACATATATATGGTTTTGAGAAGCTGCTCTGTTCGAAATAAAGGCATGTATCGTTTACATGCTGTCATCGCTTACCTGGTTAACCAGAGAAGACCGTTGGTACAGCTAGACGATCCTTTTGCTGTCTTAGACTCGATTTCTACTTGAACAAAGGTGTACAGGTACTTGAACTTGTCGGGATCAGACAAGTAGTTCTTCTCCAACCTCTACACGAGAGACGTACCAATAAAGTTACATTGTAAGACGATAATCCAATGCACAGAGGTCATGTCGCTACTACAGGACGTTTTCACTAGCCTATTCTCCACTATCAGAGGTACACATTACAATGTAAGAAGAGCGAGAAAAAGGGCCAGGCAATGCACTTTTGTCAGTAGTTTGTACTGTGAGTGTTAAATAGATTTGTGATATTCGATTATCAAAATCGTGGAGACTAAAAGAGAACTTTACCGATATGTTGCCACCAATGTCAGATTTCACGAGAGTCATAGCAGCTCCAAATTTATCTGGAAAATAGATAACCAAAGAAAATGAAGCCATGATATAGGAAACACAAGATTTGTATTTCATAAGAACAATGAACAATCAATAGAGTGTTGAGGGCACAAAAAAGATATCAAAAACTCCAGTCAATAAGATTTAGACAGACGAAGAAATAAGAGAAAAGATTCTGCCTTTGTTACCTATAACAGGCAAGATAGTCTTGCAGAGCTCTAAAAACGGCTTAGTAAGCATCTCGCCTTGTTCAGACTTGACATGCTTCATTCCTTCCAAACAAGGCGTGAACACAGTCCCTTCCATTTTCAACTTTGACTTAACTGAAATATGAGAACAGAAGAGAAAAAACCTACCGATATTACATTACGCAGTTTATAAACAACTCAATGAACAATGGTGATCACAATCTTTCTAAAAATTAACACTGAAGAATGAAGATAATCAATACTATACAAAGGGGCAACAACATAAAAAAATACTGAGAAACACATTAACTCAAACAAAAAGGTTATGAATTGAATCAAATATGTAAAAAAAGAGTCATATTCATGAGGAAAATCGAAACCAACAATCTCCATACATGCAGATATAGAACTATTTAAAATCAGCTCCATTACAATGGAAATCCAGACCAAGAATCATAAAAATGGCGACTTTCATCAATCGGATCGAGACAGAGATCTAATTTCAATTGATCAATCATAGCATCAAAAGAAGACACAATGAAACAAGACAATTACTCGATCGATTCAATTGACGAGAATCGACGAATCTAAGGCCGATCTCTAGCGGAGAAGGAGAAAAAAATCGTACCTTTGCCTGAGAATTGACAAAAGTGGGATCAGATTCTTCTGCTACTGAGATTGGTCTTTTCGCTCTCTGGAGTTAGAATTTTCTCTTTTTCTTTTTAAACGGCTCTTCTTTTAGAAAATAATAATTTTATTACAGACCCAAGCCTTCTGAAGTTTTATGATAATAGCCCTAACATTTATAATTTGTCAGTTACACCCTTCTCATAGTAAATGTAGAAAACACCGCTTTGGAACCAAATGTTTGCATCCATGGTAGTTTTATTCAGACGTTATTGCAGAAGAGTCTCTATATTGGTGGATACATCATAAATACTCGGTCACTACACGATTTTAAAAAGTTGTACAAAGGAGAGGATCTCTTTATCTTCTTGTTCTTGAAGACAGATTATAGTAAGAAATGTCACAATTGTGTTAATGGTCACCACTCACCAGTACTAAAGACTTCACTTAGATTATTGATCAAAATGAAGTAGAATTTTGTTAATAGATAGTATAGATGAACATGTTACTTCAAAGTTCAAACTAATAAATACAGTCATATATGGGCGGTCTAGAGAAAATGGTGGTCCGAAAAAAAGAAAAAAAAAGATTACAGATTTTTCTATAGTATTAGCTTTTAAAATTTTGGTTTATACAAAATCGCAAAGAATACTTTCCAAGTGAGATGTCCAAGATCAGAGGAATGAGGGCAAGATGTTCAAATCCTGCTATACCCAAGCATTCCATACTACTATATAGTAAAGGTGCGTAGTAGCGTTCAAAGATGACTGAGGTATGAGGGGAAGGTTGATCATTATTTTGGGGAGTATACAAAAACTCAGATTTTTTAGAAAGAATATTGTGGACCATGAAAAAAAAAAATAAAAAAAAATATTGTGGACCATGGAAAAATAGGGACACAAATCCATAAAGTAAAATAATATGGCAGGAAAAATTATGTAAAAATTTGTATCAAAATAGTTTTTTTTTTTTTTCGTTTGAAGTATTTCCATTAGATTAACCATAAGAGAAATACAAGGTAGAATTCTAAGCCGGCGGAAAACATAAAACTAAGCCGGCGGAAGACAAAAATATCTCCGGAAAACTAACCCCAAACAAGGGAAGCAAACTAGAGTAACAAGGTACAAAAAGCTAGAACCACAAGAAACCAAAGATCTAAAACTGAAAGTCAATCCATCATATCCCGCAACAGTCCCATAGAAACAGTTTGGCATCGGAGCTGCGCCAAGAAACATGAGCCTCGATAAGAAAAACCAAGAGCACAACCAACAACAACCCGACAGAACAGAAAGCGAGACCAATCCGCAACAGAGCACAGCCACAAACACCAACACATCAACTCCAGAAAGATAAAGAGCTTGGGAGAAACTAAGCTCAAAGAAAACCTTGAAAAAGACTGAGGAAAAGCCAAATAGGAACACCAACACTTACACGCGGACAAAGCGAACCAATCAAAGCCATCTACAGACAAAGACCGGTCACGACCTCGCAAGAGAAGGATTGGAGAACGACACCACTGTTGTGCCTTGAATCCAACCACTAAAACCTATAAGAGTTTCAGAGGAGAGCTATCAAAATAGTTTCTAAACAATAAACTTTAGGTTAAAAAACAACAAAAGAAAATAAGTGGTCTTTACAATATCGTCATTATCATAAAAGAAAATAAGTGCCCCTTAAATTTTTAAAAAAATTGGTAGTCGTAATCGTGGGTTTAGCATGCTTGTCCTCTGGACCGGTTCTGACTATAGAGGGATATGAAGTTACATTAATTTGTCGTTGTAGGTGTTTCATGTGGATACCAAATTTGAAACCAAACAAGGCTTTATACCGACTTTTTTATATAACAAAATAGAAAAGTGAAGAAACTATATCTATATGTCGGGTCACTTGGGTCTGTAGTACTCGAGTATTTCCACATAGTTTCCTTATCGCGTTTGTTGATTTTCCAATCGCTTGGTCAAAATTTTAGCATGTTAAGTTCATCATCCATAGATTCTAAGTGTTTATTTGTTGTCATTTAATTAAGACCGTAACTCAAATAAAAATGATAGTTCACTTTGATATCTTTTTGTATAAATGTGATAACCTGGATTAGAAGCAAGTATAAATGAGGAATTGGCTGTCACAAACAAGCCGAGTGAGTGAGTAAAAAGTATGAGCAACTAGAGTATCATTGATCCACTTTAATCCTACTCCATGCATAAAAAAGTCCTTGACATGTAATTTTCATTTTTCGTAAATTTCTCTACAACCCAATTATTGATCGCAAACTCGCAACTAAAAATAATATTATGTTGAGACATACAACGAGAACATGGAAGATAAAAAGAAAGAAGTCGACATGGATTTCGTTGACGACAAATCCACATTGTATTATTATTTGGAGAAGAGACATGACCTTTACCTTCTCCTCACGCAACCGGCATTTGTTGAAGTCTCCCACTGTCCCTCCCTTGGGCCCTACCTTTAAGGCCAAACCAACCCATTGGATTTGGTATTCTACATATTAAAAGTTGTACACTAATATACGATATACGGTTCAACTAAATTAACCGTTTGTTAAACTATATATTATTCACTTGTTGATAAATAAATTGTTTGAATTTACAACAAAATTAGTTTTGACCCCCGCCGATGTTTGTTATAGTCATTATTTGTACAATTTATTCTATATGTTTCGCACTAATCACGCTTCTTTCGTACCACTTAGTCTCATTCTTGAGCTTTGAATTTTATTAGAGGCAATTTAGTCATTTAATTGTGAGATTAGGAGGTGTGTACGGACAAGTGTGTGAGACAAATAAAGTTAATGTGGAGGAGATCTCTAGTGGGACAACGCAATTGAAAGTCGTTTTAGAAGCAACTAAATGCCCTCTTGACTTCTCCATTCTCCTTGCGATTTACGCATTACCTAATTGCATCTTTTACTTGTTTAGCTTGTTAAGTTCTTCTACAACATTGCCACTTTTGCTCTTTTAAGTTATGGCAACTTGGCAACTTGTTTTAAACCTCTTTATCAAAAAAAAGAAAAAAAATTGGCAACTTGTTTGAGCTCCTGAATTAATTATATCTCTTAAAAGACGTTTTGCCAGTACATGAGCTTTCTTTATATAGATTCATATCATGAAATTAAAACTTTATATATGTCATGTATATATAGCTAGTAGTATAATACAAGTATATATTAGTAAGTCCGTCGTAGAACAAAAATGGAAAGACTTGATAAAAGCACGTCAATTCAATTTCATCTCCTATAAATTAATTGTTGTAGAAAGCCAACCGTTTTGGAATTTCTTTTCTTTCGTTTTACGTAAGACTATAGATTCAATAACGTGTTGGCTTAGAAACCCATACTTATAATGGTTGACAAAAAGAAGAAATTAGAAAAAATTATATACATATACGCTAAAGTGTTTACAAAATAACAGGGTTATGTAATTTATTATCTAGATTAGGAAAAGATGATTGGACAATCCGATCGAGTAGAGGAATCTGCAGGGCATTTGTCACTTTCATGGACCCCATGAAAACACATCTCTTTTAATTGAATTATCGAAATATAGTTGCATACGCATCTTTTGTCTACGATTGGTCGTAGCACATATAAGAAATATACCATAACTCCAAACTGACTTCATCTTTTAATAATACTGTTAACTATCGTTAATACTAAAAATTAGTAATCTATTTGTTCATATAGATATTCGATTCTTACATGATATTATTATTGGGTGAGGCTCTTTGTTTAGTCATGTTATATGTTTAGGAGATTAAAAAAAATGGTATCAATGTTAAGTATTTATACTGTTTTCGAATTGGTTACAATGGGAGCAAAGAAGATTGACAGATTGAAATCCACAATTAAAGAACTACGAATACAACAGAACACACGACAAGGAAAACAAAAGTGTTTACCAACCAACATAAGCCTAAAGAAGAAAAACCTATTCCAAACCTTGAATCTCAAACATTTGAGGCACTTTCTCGGCTCCAAAGAATTCGAATAATCATCGTCTTAATATATGTTATAAGATAAATTGTTGATATATAATAAATAAAAACGATCTCTAATTGGTTACCTCCTAGTCATACTATGCGATTTGCATGTGTTCGGATCAAGGAGTGGAAGTCGTTGTTTCGCAAACATTAGTGTCTCACGACAAACTAACTCGTGAGGTCTTATATATGGTGGTACTGGGTAGACCCCACTAGCTAGCTTTGTTTTAGTTTAAACATTTTTTTTACGAGCTCATATACATAAAAGAAAAAGCTAAAACTAAAACTCTAAAATAGTAAAGCTACCAAATTCAATTCATTACGGCATGGCTCAAAATATAAAAAGTACGAATATTATACGATATCAAGTATCAACCCCATCCACATTGCTATAAAATAAACCAAACTTTCCCTCTCCATTTTCAATAATCTCTCATCTTCTTTCGTCTCTCTTTCTACGGTTCAAACCTCAAACCTTAAGAACGATGGAGAAGCGAAGCTTTATTAAGAACAGAGGAGTACTTAGATTACCACCTGGGTTCCGATTCCACCCGACCGATGAAGAGCTAGTGGTTCAATATTTACGTCGAAAAGTAACCGGTTTACCTTTACCAGCTTCTGTAATACCGGAAACCGATGTTTGTAAATCCGATCCATGGGATTTACCAGGTAATGAAATTCAGAAAATCTACGTTAGGGTTTCATTCAAATTCAATTTGGTTTCTGATGGTTGGTGTGTATGTACGCATGATGATCACAGGTGATTGTGAATCAGAGAGGTATTTTTTCAGCACAAGGGAAGCTAAATACCCGAACGGAAACCGGTCGAACCGGTCTACTGGTTCGGGTTATTGGAAAGCGACTGGTATCGATAAGCAAATCGGTAAGAAGAAGCTTGTCGTGGGGATGAAGAAAACTCTGGTTTTCTACAAAGGTAAACCACCAAACGGGACAAGAACTAACTGGGTTCTTCATGAATATCGTCTTGTTGATTCACAACAAGAATCATCATATGTAAGAAGATTCACAAAAATTCGGATTCATATATATATATAAATCGATTCGATAGAAACAGAGCTCAAAAGTGTTTTGTGTTTTTTGTTTGTTTGTTTAAAAAAAAGGGACAGAACATGAACTGGGTTCTGTGTCGAGTGTTCTTGAAGAAGAGAAGCAATAGTACTAATAATAAGAGGAAAGAAGATGAGAAAGAAGAGATTGAGAATGAGAAAGATAAAGAGAAAGAAAGTGAGGATGAGAATAATAAGAGTACTACTTGTCCCATTTTTTATGACTTTATGAGAAAAGACATGAAGAAAAAGAGAAGAAGAAGAAGAAGATGCTGTGATTTGAATTTGACTCCTGCTACGTCTACGTGTTGTTGTTCTTCTTCTTCTTCAGCGTCTTCGTCGTCTGTTTGCTCAAGTGCTTTAACTCACACATCTTCTAATAATAATCATCATGAAGAAATCAGTTGTAGGGAAAATAATAAGTTTTGTTTGTTTCTCTAGATTTAAAGCAACTTCTTTTTAACTTTAATAAATTAATTTATGATGATTACCAAAGTGATTATATATGCAACAGACGGTAGTTTCTCATGGTTGTTTTTCTTGGTGTTGGTAATTAATAGCCACATTTTTGAGCGTATCTAATTATCAAATATTGAAAACTGGTTGACAAAATCTGGTTGTTCAAATATTTAATTTGTTATGTGTGTCAATTAACAAGGACCAACCATCTAGCTAACATTTCAAGCAATCAATCAATCGGAGACTAACACTACATTAAAGATCAATCTTACAAACAAAAAAAAGATAACTCTTACAAAAAAAAAAAATTAGAATAAAATCAGATACCCAAACAACATAAATTCATATATTGTGATATCTGAAAAACATTATATGTTAAAAAATAGAAAATGCATAATGATTTTTTTTTTGGAAAAATCACATTTTTAACTTTCAAAGTGTAATTGGGTAGCACTTTAAACCTCGAAAAAATTTCACTAACACTATAAACCACCAAAATTGTTTTACTAACACTTTAAACCTCCATACTAGCTTTTCTGTTTGCAAAACCATAAAAGATGATGGAACAATCAATTTATGTTTGTTTAATATATATTTATTTATTTTAATTTAAATTTTAATTAATTTTATTATTTATTACGATTTTGATGATAAATAAAAAAAGTAAAAAAAAAATCATCATCTTCGACTATTCACCGTCCAACCACAATTTTTCAGATTTTTATTCAGTTCATTGTATGTGTTCACCATCTTTTTATTCAATTGATATTATGAGATTTAAATTTATCCACTGGAGAGAGTGAAAACGCTTATGGATCAGTCTAAAAGATTGTTTCAACAATTTATCAAGAAATTTCATGGTCGGACGGTGAGTAAACGAAGAAAATAATTTTTTTTTGTTTATTTAAAGATTTTTTTAATTGTAATAAATAATAAAATTAATTTAAATTTAAATGAAATTAAATAAATTTATATCAAACAAACATAAATTATATGAACCATCATTTTTTATGACGGTGCAAACAGGAAAACTAGTTTAGAGGTTTAAAGTGTTAGTAAAATTATCTTGGTGGTTTATAGTGCTACTAGAATTCTTTCAAAGTTTAAAGTACTATCAGTGACACTTTAAGGTTTGAGGGTTAAAAATATTATTTGAGAAATTGTTAAAAATGCCCCTTTTTCAATACCCCTTTTCAAAAATGCCCCTTTTGAGAGTCCATTTTTAAGTTTGCCCTCTTTTAATTTTTAATGACCATTTTACCCTTATTTGAAACAAAATTAGGTCCACAAAATACAAAATATTTTTTGGCGGGAAAAGTGATCCCGCAATTTTCCCGCCAAAACACTTGTAAAAACCTTTAAAAAACCTTGTAAAATTTTCCCGTAAAAATTTTTCCCGCCAAAAAATTTTCCCGCCAAAAATTTTTTTTTGCGAAATTTTTTTGTCGGGAAAATTTTTGGCGGGAAAAATTTACAAGGTATTTTAAAGGTTTTACAAAGTATTTACAAGTGTTTTGTAAGGTTTTACAATGTATTTTAAAAGGTTTTACAAGGTACTTATAAGGTTTTATAAGGTATTTATAACTTGTAAAACCTTATAAAAAACTTGTAAAACCTTATAACTTGTAAAAACCTTATAAAATAGCTTGTAAAATCTTATAATATCTTATAAATACCTTGTAAATACGTTGTAAAAATACATTGTAAAACCTTATAAATACCTTGTAAAAAACCTTTAAAATATCTTGTAAATTTTTGGCGGGAAAAATTTTCCCGCCAAAAAAATTGCGGAATCACTTTTCCCGCAAAAAAATTTTTTTGGCGGGAAAAAGTTTTACGGGAAAAATTTACAAGGTATTTTAAAGGTTTTACAAGTTTTTACAAGAGTTTTGGCGGGAAAAATTGCGGGATCACTTTTCCCGCCAAAAAATATTTTGTATTTTGTGGACCTAATTTTGTTATATTTTCTTATATATTTGTGATATCTTTTATTAAAAGAAGGGTAATTTAGTCATTTTGTACATAAAAAGGGATATTTTTAAAAATGGACAGCCAAAGAGTGCATTTTTGAAAAGGGGTATTAAAAAAGGGGCATTTTTGTGAGTCTTCCATATTATTTTCCCTTTTCTTTTTTTTTTTTTTTTGATCAAAGAAAATGCATAATGATTATTTCTTTCAATTGTTGGGTTGTTTTTGATTGATGTCTAATATTTTTGGACAACACTTTCTTACCCATACTGAAAAGATAATAACAGTGATAGAAAACTCTCATGTCATGGACGAAGTCAAAAATTATTTAATTTTAGTATCAGAAAATTAGTAAATGTCATATTATGGTTGTAAAATACGTATGGTTTGCCTATTGTTAGGGATTGGATGTTTCGGCTCTTCAGTCGTAACAATGTATGAATGAATCTATTTTTTTTCTTTCTATATAAGTTCATCGGATTAACTCTTTTAAAAGAAGAGTTTATTTTTTGGTACTTAATATAATTAATGGAGTATTTGATGTTAAAAAGAAAAAAATTACATATGGTGTTCAATATGAATTTATGAATAAAATCCCAAATAAAACACAATATAACATAGATAATTCAGTGTGATATTGGTTTTAGTCTGAGTTTTAATCAAAGGTATCTTTAATCTTCATAGAAATTTAATTTTTGTCTTTGGTTAGATTTTAAAATTCACAAATTCGTTTGTGGTTTGATTTCAGATGGATTATTTTGGTTAAGATCGGTTTGATAATGTAAATTGAGCAAAGCATAAAGCATGTGCTGCCATCATTAATTACACTTGCTGACGTAATTAGAAGCGAGAATAGTATGAAAAAAGAAAATTGATAAAAGGACGAAAGAGAATCAAAAGAGACGACGAAGTCAAGGATCACAGGTTTAACTTTTCCTCTAAACAAACGCTTTTTTCTTTATTTGATTTTTCTAATTTTCTTTGGTTTTTTTTCCTCTGGTTTTGATTTTTCCTGGCATTATTAGTTTCTTTTTCTTACGTTCTTGAAAAAAATGGCGTAGTTGGAGAAGAAGGAGACGAATCGATCATCATCTACCTGCTTGGCCGTTCTTTGCCGTCGTCGTCGTCGTTTCGATTTTCCTTCGATTCGCCGGAGAAATAGCATTTCCGGCCATGAAAACCTCTCTCCGACGGTTACGAGGTGTGCTTCATAAGCATGAATCTAAAGACCGGAGAGATCTTCGAGCTCTGGTTCAGAAGGACGAGCTAGCCCAAGCTTCGCAGGTGCCAATCTCTCTCTAATTCGAATTTGGACTGTTTTTATTTTCTTCGTGTTAGCTGTTTGATGATGAGGCGATTATCAATCATATCCTCGCTCTAGGTGAATTAGTTTCCAATTTAAGCTTAGTGGCAACGATTTAGGAAACGGTGTAGATTCAGATGTCGAATTCACGAAAATTGTGGTGGATCTAGAGCTTTAATCGATTTAATCTGAGCTGCTCTTGTAGCTTTTACGTTTTCTATCTGGTTAAGTTAGGTCATCTCTTTCACTTGACCAACCTAGTTGACTGGTTGCAGTTTTGTTTGTGGAGGGTGTTTAGGTGTTTCAATTTGGTGTTCTCTAATTTACGAATGAGATTATTGAGATGTTGATGTAACTAGTCTCACATTCTTTAGCTTGTTTTTGATTTTCGCAGGACGTAGAAGACATGAGAGATTGCTATGATAGCTTGCTCAATGCCGCTGCTGCTACTGCCAATAGTGCATATGGTAATCTATTGTTTCTTTTGCTTTGGTTGGATTAAAGTAACCAGCTAACTTCATAACTATACATACTATTCAGAATGGATTATGCTAGCGGATAATGGTGTTTTTTTTTAATTTGATTGATTCTTAAATTTGGCTCTAATACTTAAGAGTGTTGCATTCTCATTTTACTGGTTCAAACTTATAGGTCTATAAGACCTTCATTTTTCTTTTATAACTCTTAAGTGAATCTCTTGCATCTCAATTTATGGAGATAAACATCTTCTTGGTAATAAATATATATTCTTATCATTTGCAGATTTCGTTTGCTTGCAGAATTTTCTGAATCTTTGCGAGAACTAGGTGCTTGTCTTCTTGAGAAAACTGCGCTAAATGATGATGAAGAAAGTGGTAAGAATTTTCTGAATCTTAGTCAAGCAGATTCGTTACATATATCATATTATCTCTCATCTTAATGTTTGAACATTTGAAACCGACAGTTTGTGCATTTTTCCCTTTTCCAAGTTTTCTACTCATTACATATTTTTCTTTTCTGTTGCTTCGATCTATATAATGTGCGTCTGACATTATGCTTCTCTTATTCTTATGCAGGTAGAGTGTTGATTATGCTGGGAAAATTGCAGTTTGAATTGCAAAAACTTGTTGATAAATATGTGAGTTTTTGAGATCTGGTACAAACTGGTTTAATATTTTTCAACTGAGTTTTCCTCTGTCTAACCACCAAAAAAAAATTAATTAACTATTTATATTGTTGATTCAGCGGTCTCATATTTTCCAAACAATTACAATCCCCTCAGAGTCACTTCTAAATGAACTCCGCATAGTTGAGGTTTGTTCAAATCTGTTATATCTATTTACTTTTTCCAATGGTCAGAATGGCCAATCTGTACTGCCTTCCATGTTGACAAAACGAAATTTTAAGCGTTGTTGATAAGCTTGCTGATTCAGCCCTCTCAAGTGACGATAGTAATGTGTTTTAATGGTTTATGCAGGAGATGCAGCGGCTTTGTGATGATAAAAGGTTGTTCTTACCTCGGCTTCTTATTCATTTCTAAACACCTATTAGTGAGACAGGAAATAATATCTGAAATGTATTACCTTGCTATAATTGAAATAAAGAAGTTAACGTTACACCTATATTTTGTTCACTTTTTAGAGATACATGAGTTTTGTAGGTGATTAATCAGATATAGTTCCATAGTTCCTCACTGATTGGTCTCATGAGGGGATTACCGTTCCATAGTTCCTATCAAAATTTCCTTACATGTTAGTGGGCAAAAAGTATTCTACTCATGGAACTCTTTACCTTTCAGGAATGTTTATGAAGGCATGCTTACAAGACAAAGAGAGAAAGGGAGATCAAAGGGTGGGAAAGGAGAAA